CATATATAAAACAAGATTATAGAGTGGATTGTTCACGTGCCAGATCAAGTGCTGAGATTTCCTCAGCACTAGCAAAAAGCTCATTGCCTTCTTCTCAACTCTTGTGAGTAAAATTAATTTTCATATTCCCAATTGCTTTCAATTTTCTCCACTACCTCTAAGCTTAAACAACTAACACCCTTGAACTGAAGGGACAGATCTCTCCCTACTTCTACCCTGAACGTAGTACTTGTTCCATTACACCTAGAAAGGGAAGAACACCAATCGTTAAGATTAGGATTCCAAAGAGTGGCCAAAGAAGTTGATACCCATTTCACAGAGATATAATCATATCACATATCAGTGATACGTGTGTTTCAAACAAATAATAAGGTATGTAATATCTAATATATATAGACGATCGTGACTGACTGACTGACTGACTGACGCTGGGAGAAGAGTGCTCCTCCACAAACAATATCTTGTTCTTGAACGTCATAAATGGCTACCTGCCATGACCATTCTCCTATCTGTGATGGCTTTCCTCCTTTGGACAATGTCACTTGGTAATTCTTTCTCCCACACACTAGGAATACGATAGTACAGAAATACATTTTTAAAAATTAAATATATGTATCAGGTAAACAGGGAAAATAATTGGATTCGAAAAACCGACCAGGCTCACAAAACGGTGAGTTTCCTGTCCATTCTCCATCCTGCGTGCATCTGCGAATCTTNTGAATAGATGAGTCAAGAAACAATTTTACTTTCATCTAATATACTGTATATATACGCCACAAGGGAATACACGCCATAGGGGCACACCATTTCAGGGAACATATTTTCAAATAGTTCTCTTTGCGTCTATCAAACGAAGACCCAGGGAAAGATGTAACATGGCAAGAATGTGACTGGTGAAGCAGTCCGCCAAATGACAAGTGTCAAATTTACAAATTTACATATCTAACAATTGGGATGCTGCAGAAAACGTCAGAATTTGGAAGTAAATGCCATGGGGGCACACATTTCAAAGAATATATTTTCAACTAACTTTTTTTGCATTAACCTGATTAACATGGAAAGCTGATACTTTGCATGAATGTTACTACTGACACAATGAGTTACATGAAAATGTTATGTCTCGAAACATCCTCTGCGGAAATTTTTTCGAGAGGCGATGTTTTGAAAGAAAATTGTCTGGGCGAATTGGACAGAAATGAAAAGGTGAAACTTGGCACAGGTATAGGTGAGATGACATTACTGACCTGAGGGAGTATTCAGCTTTAATGGGGCATCCCCTCCGGGCATAGGCTTTGGGTGGGTCGCTTTTCCAAAAACATTTTTTTTCCGCCAGCAAAAAGGGAAGACGTAAAAGATTGAGACTGGGTGGCATGGAAATCCCTGAGTCTATATTTCAAAAGAATAACATATTTCATTTAAAAAAAACCATTAGGGCACTTTTTTCAGTCCCATTTTCCTGATTATATTTCATCCAACAAAACAAAGACAGAAGAGTATACTTCCCTCAGAATTACCTGTTTGACAGCTGAGCAGAGGAAAAATACTAATTTTGCAATATGACTTCTTAGCGTAGATCATTGGAGAGAAGTATTTTAAAATGTATTCTCCACCCTTAAAAAAGGGACACAAAAAAGATTTGAAGTTAGGCACACATAGAATCATAGAGGTAATGATTTTGATAAAAATGAAGACTTTCAACCCCATATGTCATGTATTCAATATTTCAATGGGGACGTACTTTAAATACGTGTTTCCCATTTCGCAAGAAATGTATGAATGAATCATTATCCAAGGTAATAGCGAGCTTGTTTGCCCGAAGGTCAAATAAACTCGCTAGTATGATATATAGACGATCGTGACTGAGTGACTGACGCTAATTCTAACCATGTTCGAGAGAAGTGAGAAATCTGAAACTTGGTTCACAAGTAGCTATTGGGATGTAGAGTTCAGAAAAAAATCCAACTTTGGAGGTACATGCCTTGGGGGGCATGTACAAAATTTCGTGGAGGACTGATTTTGCAAGCCTACACCTACGCCTTTTTCAGGCACACGTTCCTTTCTCTGCCGTTGAAGGAAGTGTGTGTAACTGCAAGGTAGTTCGCTCAGGAGGAACTCCTACTTCGTGAGGGGTGGGGTTACAAGCCATAGGGATAATTTTCAAGGGGGCTCATTTCGCTGGCCTAGGCCTAACCCATGGATGCACACTTAGGCCAATACCATTCTCATGCACTCTCTTCTTCAAAGTAAGCAGAATGGAAAACAGGTGTTTGCTTGAAAGCTACAGATAACAATTCGACATTGGAGGTACGTTCCTTGAAGGGACCTATATGTAACCTTTAGATGGACGCTGAGGCCTACGTCGATCTCGACTCTATGGCATCGAGGAAATTTTCGGCCTAGCTGCCTTAGCATGCGGCGCGTGGTCTTTGTTCCAGGCCTTTCTAGGTCATTGGCTAGGTTTAAGAACTTGTGTTGATGCGCACCGGTATGCTTGTGCATGCGAATCGGTTTGATATTTTTTTTTTATCAGAGAAACAGCAAGGAAGATTTTCGTTTCGTTTCATGATTCAGAACTTGAATCAGTTGTGCACTCGAATACTTAAGACCTTAGTCTGCCAACTCATGATGGAAATCAAGACATTGACTGGGGCAAACAATTTCTATAATGAATTGGAATCAATCCCACCGAACCTAATATTTGTAGGGGAGATTGGGGCACCTTAGGTCAGTGTCCGCGGTACGATTCGTCATCCCCATATTCATCGCTAAAATGAGCATCAGTTGACTGAAAGACATCCCAAAAGGAAGTCTCATAAGAAGAGGAGAAGCTATTGAATACTAATGCACTCCACCAAAGTCATATAGAAGTATTAAAAACGTTTTAGCGAAAAATAATATACAATTACTTTTCGCGTCGAAGAATATCACATCTGCTGGTGCGACCCTGCGGAGTCTTCCGTTTCTTTGGGCGCTGTATTAGATTGAATAATCTCTGTAAAGGAAGTCTTGATCTGCATTGGTAATCATCACAAAATATTTCACGGACTGAGTTATACCCAATGTACCGAAATAGAGAGACCCATCGTGCCCCAGCAAGAGCCATTGAAATGCTTTCAACGTCTAAACTAGACTAAGTTGATATTGTACCACATATGCGCAGACATTGTAATACCGATTTGCCGAATACAATGCCAGTTAGAATCAACAGTAAGCATAAAATATTTTGGAAAATTCCGAGTCTCCATCGCAAAAATTTCCGACTAAGAGCACGTGAACCTGCATTCCTTATAATGGACAGATAAATTTTCCTGCATGTCCTCGGGAATCCACCTTCCTATTATTTGCGGAAATTTCCCCTTCTTTTTCACAAAAATATTGCGGCTAATAGACTTACATTCGGATTCCGAAGTTCAAGCGAACGATCCTTTTCTTCATTCGTCTCGGAATAGCCTGTTTTAAAAATTCTTGGAATAACCTTCCCAATCGTTCGGACCAGAGCCCATGAAAAGAAAACCTGGCCAACTGGGGTTGCACTTTTCGACGCATCTGATTGGCTGACGCGCATGGGCGCCATTTTTGCTCCAGTTGCTGCATGTACATGGTCCTTGTAATGCACGTGAAGTGACTTTTTCGTGTTGATTGTAGAGCAATAATGCCGCGCTATTTGGATGTAAAACACTCAAACGGGTCTGAGAAAGGTTTTCGTCTGTTTCTGTTTCTGATAGACGCCCGGAGAAGATACCTTTGGGCTACGAGAGTGAAACGTCAATATTGGGAGCTTCAGGATTGATTTCACTTACATGAGGTAACCATAGCATATGGCCTAGCCGATCGAGTAAGGAGCCCTTTTGGGGGTCGGGACAACATTGCCGCAACTATACGCAATTATTCTTTCATCTTTCGCGAGGTGCAGGCCGCCGTGAACCTCAAAATTGAAATTATGAAGGCAAAGCAGAGAGTGCCGAGTTTCAGAGCAGCTCTTTTTCTGATGGGGAAAGAGATCTACCTGTATGATATTCTCTCCCCTGTATCCGAGATGGAAATACGCACGAAATTGCTATTCTTCTTGCCGATGAAAACGATGCGCTTACCAAAGCACCACGAACTCGTCATTAAGGAGATATCGGAGGCTAGTGGGAGGCATCTACCATTCGGCTCGGAAACAAAGTGTCGGGTGGCTTCCCGAAGGTGCCTATATGGAAAGGCCGGAAGGATAAGAGAAGAGTTTTCCAAGAATATTCGTAGCAGGCGTTTCGACGCGAATGAGGAAAAGTATATTTCTCTTAAACGTCGGAATTCGAACGGAAGAAAAAAGAAAAAGTCCGGAAAGATAATGAAGTGGGATTTCTGAAGAAAGGTGTGAAATATTTTTCAAGCAGGAAGGGAAATCCCAGTTTACATGTTCTTAGCAATTTTTACTACGAAAAATTGGAAATTTCCGAAATTTCCGAAATTTGTTTTCAGTGCACTGTAAAAAAAAATTAGGGAATTTCCGATTATTCTTCGTAGACCTATTAATACATGCGAATTCCGACGTTCGAGCGAACGACCCTTTTCCTAGTTCGTGCCAGAAAAACCTGTTTCGAATATTCACCGAAATATCCTTCGTGATCGTTCGGACCTTTCGGTATTGCCATCGCGAGGAAGCCACCCGATATCTTTAGTTTCCGACCCGAACGATAGATGACTCCCTCTACCCTCCGATATCCTCTTAAATATGAAACCATGATGCATCGAAAAATGTATAGTTCTCATTCTCAAGAAGAAATGTATTTTCATGTATATTTCCCTGTCGGATACAGGGGAGATGAAGAGCATCACAGCTTCTTCATGCTGGGAGGGTAACTGCTCTGAAACTCAGGACGACCTGTTTCACCGACATTATCTACATTTCCTGACTGCCGGCGACCGGCAAGTCCTGGACCAATCAAAGTATAAAAGATTCAGGATTCGGTCGTTCTTCCCTAACACTCTCTATTTGAGAAGAGAGGGGAGTGAGAATGGGTCACAGTCTCTTCAAAAGTGATTAAAAGGAGGTACTGAGTAATAGTGTTTGTGAATAGAACGTACTGCATCTCCATGATACGGATGCGCCAAATACTCATCTAATATATATAGACGATCGTGACTGACTGACTGACTCTAATTCTAACCATGTTCCACAAAGGTTAGAAATCTGAAACTAGGTACACATGTACCTTTTGGGTTGCAGAGTTCAGAAAAAATCTGACTTCTGAGGTACATGCCCTAGGGGTACATATTTTGGGGGGAGAAGTTTTTTTAAAAATATATATCATGATGGATAAGAACACTTCTAATATATATAGACGATCGTGACTGACTGACTGACTGACTGACGCTAATTCTAACCATTTTCCAGAAAGGTTAGAAATCTGAAACTTGGTTCACATGTACCTTTTGGGTTGCAGAGTTCAGAAAAAATCCTACTTAGGAGGTACATGCCCTAGGGGTACATATTTTGGGGGGAGAAGTTTTTTTAAAATATATATCAAGAGGGATAATGATCGAATCGAGAGATCCCGTTTCGGTGGTGTAGTGGTGGCACGTCGGACTTATAATCGGGAGGCCCATGTTCAATTCCCACCAATTCCCTGTCTTTCTTTTCTTCTCTTGCCTTCCATGTCCCGTTGCTTGAATAAAACGGAGAGAAATGGAAAGCTAAAACGTGGCATAGACGTGCCTAACAAAACGATGAGTTCAGGAAAAATGATTAGATCCATGTCCATGTCCAAAAATTAGATCCATGCCCTGGGGGCATATTCTTGGGGGCTGACGTTTTCAGGTATTTTTTGTCCTGGTGTATTGAGCTAGCGTGTAAAGATGAAACTTGGTACATAATTACCTAACAGGATGCTGCGTGCAGAAAAATTCAGACTTTGGAATGAAATGCCCTGGGGGCATGGCTTTCAAGGGGAGATGTTTTCACATAATTGTCGTGGTGAATTGGACAGAAATGGAAAGGTGACACTTGGCACACGTATAATTGATTTGGAATTATTGAGTTGAGAGAGTATTCAGCTTTCATGGTTCATCCCCTCCGGGCTTAGCTTTTGGGTGCGTCGGCTTTTCCAAACATCATTTTTCATCAGCGAAAAAGGCAAACGTATAATATTGAAACTTTGTGGGCGTGTGGGCACTGAGGCTTGATTTCGGTAAAAATGGTAATTATCAGTTAAAATGCCCGAGGCCACGTATTTTGCAAATTTTCCTGAATTTTCTCATCCAGCAAAATGGAGGGTGCTAGAAAGTTTAAACTTGACAAAGAAGTACATGATGAATAGATGAATCAAGAAACAATTCTACTTTCATATTTCATATTATATATTGATGATAGTGAGTAGCTGACTGACATATTCACATGATGAGTTCAGGAAAAATTCCACTTTTGTGATACACGCCAGAGGGGCACACCATTTCAGGGAACATATTTTCAAATAGTTTTCTTTGCGTCTATCAAACGAAGACCGAGGGAAAACTGTAACATGGCAAGAACGTGACTGGTGAAGCACTCAGCTCAAATGACAAGTGTCCAATTTAAAAAATATTTTTGGGGACTTGTTTGGGGAAATAACGTTTTCAAAGAATTTTAAATATCCTAGCAAATTGGGCAGAAATCGAAAAATTGTAGCTGGCGCACGCATAACGGACATGATGTTTATATAAGGAATAATTTAACTTTCGTTGAGCCTCTACTGGAGGACAGCTTTTGGGCTTTTCAAGTATATTTTTTACCTCCAGCATATAGGGGAAACGAATATGGTTAAGACTGTGTGGCATGGAGTTCCATGAGTCTATATTTCAGAAAAATGAAAAAAAGAAATTTTTTTTAAATCAGGATATTTTTAAAGTCCCATTTTCGTGATTTTTGATCCAACGAAACAGAAACAGGAAATTTAAAACTCCCTCAAAAGTACCGGTTTGATTGCTGAGTACAGGAAAAATCACACTTTTGAAATATGCACCCTTAGCGTAGATTATAGTAGAGAAGTATTTTAAAATGTATTCTCCACCCTTATAAAAATAGGGATTCATTAGGAAGTCATCGAGAGATGCCATAGTACGCCAATGTTTCGGTGGTGTAGTGGTAGCACATCTGATCGGCAATTAGGAGTCCTGGGTTCAGTTCCCGGCCATTCCAGGCCTTTTTATTGCTTCTCTCGCACTTCCATGTCCCGTTGCTTCAATAAAACGGAGTGACATGGAAGGCTGAAACATGGCATGTACCGAAACGATGAGTTCAGGAAATATGTAAACTTTCAGATCCATGTCCTTGGGGTATATTATGAGGAGCCGACGTTTTCAAGTATTTTTTTTTTGTCCTGGCGTATTGATCTAGTGTGGAAAGATGAAATTTGGTACATAACTACCTATTGGGATGCTGCAGAAAACTTCAGAATTTGGAAGTAAATGCCATGGGGGCACACATTTCAAAGAATATATTTTCAACTAACTTTTTTTGCATTAACCTGATGAACATGGAAAGCAGACATTTTGCATGAATGTTACTACTGACACAAAGAGTTAAACAAAAATGTTCTGTCTCGATACATCCCTTGGGGAAATGTTTTCGAGAGGCGATGTTTTGAAAGAAAATTGTTTGGGCGAATTGGACAGAAATGAAAAGGTGAAACTAGGCACAGGTATAAATGACATGATATTACTGACCTGAGGGAGTATTCAGCTTTAATGGGGCATCCCCTCCGGGCATAGGCTTTGGGTGGGTCGCTTTCCCAAATACATTTTTTTTTCCGCCAGCAAAAATGGGAAACATAAAAGGTTGAGACTGGGTGGCATGGAAATCCCTGAGTCTACATTTCCAAAGAATAAAATATTGCAGAAAAAAACCATTAGGGCACTTTTTTCAGTCCCATTTTCCTGATTATCTTTCATCCAACAGAACAGAGACAGAAAATTATACTTCCCTCAGAATTACCTGTTTAACAGCTGAGTAGAGGAAAAATACCAATTTTGCAATATGACTTCTTAGCGTTGATTATTGGAGAGAAGTATTTTAAAATGTATTCTCCACCCTTAAAAAAGGGACACAATAAAAGATTTGAAGTTAGGCACACAGAATCATAGAGGTAATGATTTTGATAAAAATGAAGACTTTCATCCCCATATGTCATGTATTCAATATTTCAATGGGGACGTACTTTAAATACGTGTTTCCCATTTCGCAAGAAATGTATGAATGAATCACTATCCAAGGTAATAGAGCGCCGAAGGCACGACAAGTGCAAGACGCTAGTATTATATATAGATGATTGTGAGTAGCTGACTGACATAAGTAAAATAGCAAATCACATGCTGAGTTCAGGAAAAATTCCACTTTGGTGATACACGCCAAAGGGGCACACCTTTCCGGGGAACATATTTGGAAATAGTTCTCTTTTCTTGAATCAAACCCATGGAAGACCATTGAAAGCTGTAACATGGCATGAACGTGAATGGGGAAACACTCAGTCAAATGTCAAATGTCAATTTTCCAATATATATTTTTGGGCCTATTTCTTGAGGACGTAACGTTTTCAAAGAATTTCAAATATCCTAGCGAATCGGGCAGAAATAGAAAAATTGTAGCTGGCGCACGCATAAAGGACGTGATGTTGATTTAAGGAAAAATTCAACTTTTGCTGGAAAAGCAACCCAGCAAAATGGGGAAACATATAAGGCTGAAAGTGGGTGGCATAGAGTTCCCTGAGTTTATATTTCAGAATAATGATAAGAATTTCATTTAAAAAATCAGAATACTTTTTTTAAGTTCCAAATATGTGAATTATTTTTCGATTAAACGAAACAGAAGCGGAAAATTAAAAATTCCTTACAGAAGTACCTGTTTGATGGCTGAGTACAAGAAAAATCCTACTTATGAAGTATGCCTCATGAGCATACATTATAGGACGGAAGTATTTGAAAATTTATTCTCCACCTTTGCAAAAAGGGACACACAAAGAGATATCAAGTTAGGCACACTAGAAATAATAGAAGTAATGATTTTGATAAAAATTTGGACTTTCGTCCCCATGTCACACATTCCAATGGGACTCACTTTAAATACGTGTTTGCCATTTCGCAAAGAAAAAATTAATTAAGCACCATCCAGGGTAAGGGAGCGCCGAAGGCGCGAGCACAGCGAGTTTGTTTGCCCAAAGGGCAAACAAACTCGCTAGTAGATTAATAACGGGAGGTTTCGTAATGATAATAAAGATCCGTTCATTATGCAGTATTTAGAATGGGAAGGAGCCGTTTTTGAATAATGAAGAGAATTGAGGAAAATGCGAATGAGACGAAAATTACTTTCCTGAACGGGAACTCGATTCTGACAATGGATGGGCATTTTCCGAAAAAGGAGAGGAACGCTCCATTACCCGCTTTCGTCGGAAAGATCGATTTCCAGGTTTTTTTTCGAGGTTTTTTCGGAACTGCAGGTTTTACGTTAAAAATGAGAGACATACTTTCCGCTATGAATCGGAATCCGCTTCTCCGCGCATTAGTCGGAAACCCTGTTTCCGATGCCTCAGTCGGAATTATTATTTAGTGTGTGAAGAGAAACAGAACTGAAAGAGCCTGAAACTGCCCGGTACAATGTGCTCCACTCTCCTCAAAATCCTCTGGTGCATGATTTATCAAACTATATTTTTTAACAAGATCATCACGGGATATATATACATCACACTTTTTCACCTTCCAGGGTTTTCTTCATTCAAGACAATGCAGCAGTATCGGAGCTAAAAGAAGAAACCTTCCAGAAACTTACATTGCGAATAATACAGATTCTTAGGAGTGCAGTAAGGAATATTCATCCATCATTCTTATCACCGTTGCAACCTCATCTCGAACTTTTCGACATTTCTGACAGTCGGCTGGAAGATTTTCCCTTTCCTAATCTTCACGAATTCAACCGCTTGAGACACATCATCATTAGCAACAATTTTTTTACCTCTATACCAGCCTTCAATAGCAGCATCTTAGAAATACTCAATCTTCACACCAACAAGATCACAAAAACGGAGCTCGATGGATCGACGACTCCCAATTTATGGGACCTCAGGCTCGGCGACAATTTGTTGACCTTTGTCCCAGTCTTCAAGAGCGACAATCTTCAACTACTCGGTCTTCAGAAGAATCAGATCACGAGGGTCGAGTTAGATGAATGGGCGACTCCCAGATTGAGAGAAATGGACCTCTCCAACAATTTGTTGACCTCTATACCAGCCTTCAGGAGTGACAGCCTAGAAAAATTAATACTTGAATCCAATAAGGTCACGAGCGTGGAGTTCGATGGATGGACGACACCCAAATTGAGAGACCTCAGGCTCAATGACAATTTATTGAGCTTTGTCCCGGCCCTCAAGAGCGACAGCATTGAAATACTCGGTCTCCACAATAATCAGATCACGAGCGTCGAGTTCGATGGATGGGCGACTCCCAGATTGAGAGAACTCGCTCTTTACAACAATTTATTGACCTCTGTTCCGGCCTTCAAGAGCGACAGCCTAGAAATACTCTTTCTTCATGGCAATAAGATCAGGAGTGTGGAGTTCTATCAATTGACGACTCCCAATTTGAAGAATATCAATCTCTCCGAGAATTTGTTGACATCTGTACCGGCATTCAAGAGCGACAGCCTGGAAAGACTCGTTCTTCACAGCAATCAGATCACAAGCGTGGAGTTCAAGGAATGGAAGACACCCAAATTGAGGGAGCTCTGGCTCCACAACAATTCGTTGACCTTTCTCCCGGCCTTCAGTAGCAACAGCCTAGAAGTGCTCAATCTCCACACCAATATGATCACGAGTGTGCAGTTAGACGGATGGGCGACTCCAAGATTGAAAGGATTAGACCTCTCCGTCAATTTGTTGACCTCTGTACCGGCCTTCAAGAGCGACAACCTAGAAGTACTCTTTATTCGCATCAATAAAATCACGAGTGTGGAGTTCGATGGACGTACGACTCCCAATTTGAAGCAACTCGACCTCGCTAACAATTTGTTGACTTCTGTAACGGCGTTCAAGAGCGACAGTAGAGAAATACTCGGTCTTCAAAACAATCTGATCGTGAATGTGGAGTTCAACGAATGGGTGGCTCCTAGATTGAGACAACTCGACCTCTCCAACAATTCATTGACTTCTGTAACGGCTTTCAAGAGCGATAGCCTAGAAATACTTGGTCTTCAAAACAATCGGATCATGAGTATGGAGTTCGACGGATGGGCAACTCCCAATTTGTCGGTATTCAACATTAGTGAGTATTAGATATCAGGTTTTGTTTCCTTATCACCATTGATAGATCCTAGTTATAGAATGCTCAAAATCCTGTAATTATTTCAAAACTGCATTCTAGATAAGTTATGGCTAGAAGTGGCAATTAGCAACGGATTTTTTTCCGAAAATCCCTTCGCGAATGTAGTCGCTTCAATATTTCAGCATCCAAAATGCTTGCTGCAACCTTTCCCTTATATTGTGCTTCTGAAGCCGAATGTTCGTCCACCTAGAAGTTAATGATGTTTTGCGATTTAACTTGAAACTTTGTATTTGTGAAACCGACTTCTATGGTAAACTCTTAGGAAATTCCTAGCGGTTAGGGAGTAGAAAGTGAGCACTTTGTCAGCAATTTCAAACGTACTTTCCTATTGCTCACTATATACTCCCTCATCGCTGGTTTTGAAGTGAACACCTTGTATTTCTTCGCCACGTCATTAGATGGAGGTAAGGGATTCTCATATTTTGCACAGTACACGAAAGTTCCCTTCTATCTTTCCCTGGAATCGTCCCTCGCATGATTTTTCAGTACCTCGCCATATGTCTCGACTAGCGTCATTATCGGAATCTATAAACACGGTCACTTGCTTTTTCATTTGCTCTCCACATATTCAAGACAGGTTCAAAGAGTCCAGGTCATAAACAAATACTTATTCTTGTTGTGAATCCTTTTAAAATTCGGAAGTATCATCTCCGGAGGTGGTATAGAACATAGGGTGTGTCAGTGAACTCAAGTCTGCCATATTCTCAACTTGATGGGAGGATGAGGAAATGAAGGACTGATTCATTGGACACTGCATGGAACTGTACGAGGTGGTCCTTCCTCTGAAATGTACTGTAATCACTACAGTCAGAGGAACGTCAGCGCCTTTACCCCTCTATGTTTCCTACATATCTCTATCCATACTTTGGATCGCAAGCCCTTGAGGTAAAAAACAAAAACAAAAATGAGAGCGAAAGTGACATACAGAACTCCCAAAATTTCCCCATTTTGAATCTATATGAAAATCCCGCGTTTAAAGATATTAAAATAATTATTTCACTGGAATATAAAAATGCATAGAAAAAGAAACTCCTCAAATTAAATTTAATAGTGGAGAGTCAATAGAAATTGCTCAAAAATTTAAATAAATTATCATTCTAACAAGTAGACAACGATCAAAAGTGCCAAATTAACTCATGTATTTCTTCATATTTTTGTTTCAGTCACTCATTCCAAACTGAATGAATCAATTTGAAACAAAAAATAAATAATATGACTTTACAAAGGTATTATTTACATCACCCGGCACATGCGAATCTGGTCCTGCTTCTTTCCATCATCACTGTAAAAAAAAATCCAGAAATTTAAAAGTATCTAGTGAAAAAACTTTGGACTAAGACCACGTAAACCCGCATTCCCTCTAATGGACAGTAAATTTTCCCTGTATATCCTCGGAAATACCCCTTCCTTTCTTTTTACGAATTTTCCTCTTCTTTTACACAAAATATAACGACTGAGGAACATACATTCGAATTCCAAAGTATAAGCGAACGATAATTTTCATCATACTTTTCGGAAAATCCTGTTTTGAATATCTTCGGAAAAACCTTCCCAATCTTTCAGACCTTTCCGCGTCGACACCTTAGGGAAGCAACTCGACACCTTTAGTTTACATTTCGAATGGTAGATGACTCCCAGTAGCCTCCGATATCCCCACAATTACGACACCGTGATGCATCGGAAAATGCAGTTTTCATTCTCAAGAAGAAAGGTATTTTTATGTGTATTTCCCTCTCGGATACACGGGAAATGAGGAGCATCACAGCTTCTTCTTCCTGTTGGGAGAGGCACTGATCTGAAACAATGGAAACAGTTCATCACCGATATCACCTACATATCCTGGCTGCCGGCGACCCGCATTTCTCGGGATAAACAGTATAAGAGGTGCAGGACTCGGTCCTTCTCCCCTAATACTCTCTCTTTGAGAAATAAGAGAGACGAGGATAGGCTGCGGACTTTTACCAAAGTAATTAAAAGGAGGTACTGAATAATCACGTTAGGTAATAGAACTTACGGCTTCTCTGTGATAAGGATGCACCAAATACTCACGGATTAATAAGGGCAGGTTGCGTAATGATAATGTAATCCTATTAATCATGCAATATTTCGAAAGGAAAAGAACCATTTTTAAATAATGAAGGCAATTAAGGAAAACCTAAATGAGCTGGAAATTTACTTATGTAAACGGAAACCAGATTCCAAGCATGGATTAGATTTTTCGGAAAATGATAGGAAAGCACCATTACTCGCTTTTGTCGGAGGAATGGATTCCGAGGTGTTTTCAGAACAGAATGCTTAAGCTAAAAAGGAGGAGACATGGTTTCCGCTATAAATTGGAATTCCCTACTCTGCACATCAGACGGAAACCCTGTTTCCGTCGCCTTAGTCTAAATAATTTTATTTTTTTCAATGAGCTCACTAATCTTATTTTCCTTTCCATTCAGGTAGCAATCCCTTATTGAAGTTTCCATCTACAATAGTCAAAGGCATGAAGAAACTGGAGAAGTTTTTGTGTCAAGGAGCCACCCTTGGTCCCACCCTTTCAAGCGGTTTCCTGGAATTCCAGAGCAACGCCTTGAAATTAGTTGACCTCCGGAACAACGGAATATCCAGACTGGAGCCTGGAGCCATCTCAGGTATGATCTTCCATCAGAATCGATAACCGTAGGTTATAAAAGCTATCGCCTCATCAACGTCATGAATTTTCGTTAATAAATTCTGTCCATACAGGGTATTATGCAAAGACGTTCCTCTCCATTCGAAAGGAAAAGGATCATTCGTTTGAACTTTGGAGTTCGAATGTAGGTCCCTTAGCCGTAATATTTTGTGAAAACGAATGGGAAAATTCCACAAATAAAAGGAAGTCGGATTTCCGAGCATATGCAGAAAAATGTTTCCGTCCATTGTAAGGAATGCAGGTTTAAGTGCTCTCAGTCAGCATTTTTTACGATTTAGCCTAGGAAATTTTACAATTTTTTTCCCTTTACCGGGAGAGTTTTTTTTTTCTTTGAGGGAGCGGATCCTTACCTTCTTTTTGTCATCAAATAAGGCGACATTGTATTACTAAATGAAATAGTTCGTTCCCTCCGTCTGGGAGGAATATTACACGATTAAGTTAAACATTCATGATTCCTTATTTTGCCATTACTGCTGTGATACTGTAGTCATCATGAAGCATTAGGCTTCCAAAAATGTATGCATTCTAAAAACTCAATCCGATACTCCTGATGCTGAAACTAACTTAATGTGGTAATAAGTGTTTTGTAAGATTCATACTAATTTGTCACTTAATTTAAAAGATGCGAACGCTGAATGTACATGTGTTTAATGCATTTGAAGCCACCAGGTTTTCTAACAATGGCCTGCTCGGAAGCTCCGAAGGTTGGGAGCTTGTTTGGCCATCGGGGAAAAAAATGAAAATATCATTACCTCACTGCAAGTGCATTTCAGCTCTTCAAGTTTTTTACTTAAGAAAAAAAATCCTGAAGAGTAAGATTTCGATATCCAATCAATTCAAATGCCCTTTGAGAAGCCAATGATTCCGAAACTGCGATATTTAAATGAATATACTTTTGCCAGGAAGTACACCTTGATAAGCTGAACTTAGCGATGACAAAAGCTAAATTTTTATAATAATATGCCATTTTGGCGGTAAGGTATCAATATACTCTTCGCCAAAGAAATCAGGACCAAGGAGTTCAGTAATCTTGAAGAAATTTTGTAAACTTGCTTATACCAGTTTCCTATGAGGTTCATCAAAATTTCAAGACTGTGGGATGAAATATTAGCGGAGAAAACATGCCAATAACTCCAATTTCAATAGCGGCAATGGGGTCACACTAATCGCCCAAAAATGGTTATCTAGGTGATTTTTATAGGAGAAACGCAAAAACTCTTAAAGATGCGCTGAAACTCAAGAAAAATTTTGAAGAAATTCAGAAAAAACTTGCGAAATGCTGTAAAAAATGGGGAGAAAGGCAACGCCATTAATGACGCCCGTTTCCTGGCTTTCCTTCCCTCAAGCGGTCATGCTAAAATTAGGCGAAAATGAATTAGTCCAGAAGTAAAATGTCGAAATGGAATATTGTAGAATACCAGAATGTCGAAAGTAAAAAATAGCGAAAGTATAAAATGTCGAAACGGAAATGGTCGAATCAATCTTTTTCAAGTCAAGGAATCCGCGAGGTAAACTCTCGTCAACTTAGAAGTTTAGATTGTGTGCAATGGCTCGCAGGTACTCCAATGCACCTCGATTGATGTTATCATCGCGTATTACTTTCGGTCGTGCATCGCGGGTAACATCCTGCTTCCTCCGTTTTTTCGATGGATGGCCGATTTCTGGCGCTTGCTTCTTTTGTAATGCTTGAGGGAGGTAAAACACATCAGGATGGCACTTCCCATGATGGAATTTAAACGGTGATGCCATCCTTCAAGGTCATTATTTGTCCGAGGCTCGTTGGATTTGACACGATCGATCACATTCCACAAGGCCCGGCGGAAATGCTGCACACCTTCGCGTTCTCCCACGCGGCCGGACACTTTCACACGCCTGGCCACACCGTGTGGTATGGGAACCAGAATTCAACATGGTCTCAGTCTGGAACACTATCTCCCCATTAGTAGGAGCTGGAGAACAATATGAAAGATAAGCGTCAGGTCATGAATCAGTCGACTCGTTGGACTCCCAATTTTTCGTGTGAATTCAAGATTTTGACATTCGACGAGTTTTCGACCATTTTTCGCATGCGCCTTCTTGGATATTCGGCGAATGTTACATTCGACTTTTGTTTGCGGGGACGTTCTGTCCCAGTGACGATTTCCCTCTGGGGCATTTTTGCTTTTCAACCTTTTTTATTTCGACTTTTTTTTTTAACCGAATCCCCCTCAAGCCACTTTCCTATAGGTCCGAAGTTCGGCGTCTAACTGGGAGGCAGGGCCAAGATGAGGTCTCTGGAGGCAATATCAAAAAGTACCTATGATATTTCATTCACTGGGAGTAATTGTGATGTATGTATCAGAAGATATAGCAGATCTAGAAAGGTCATACTTGCAACAAGCATAACTGACGTGATGGTGAGCTCAGGAAAAATTCAACTTTTATGGTGCATTCCGTCAATGCATGGCTTTAGCATGGGTCGGCATTTCCATATATTTTTTTTACACCAGCGATAAAGGGCAAACGGGTAAGGTTGAAACTTTATTTGCATGAATTTTTCGGAATACTGTTTTCGGTGTAAAAATTTTTTTCAAGTAAAACACCTCCTGGCACATTTTTTTTTAAATAGGCGCATTTTCCAGATGCTTTTTCGATCCAATGAAATAGAGGGAGATAGATAAGTCTTGGGTCAGGAGTATCTGTTCGATTGCTGAGTGCAGATAAATCCGACTTATGAAATGTGCCTGCTGGGCAGATTATGGGAGGGTATTATTTCAAGATACTTGAAAATGATATTTGATTTTTTTCCCGCTGACAAAAAGGAGCACATAGATTCGAAGTTTGGCATACAAGAAATCATCGGAGTAAAGATTTCGATTTTTAAAAATCTAGGTTACGTCCTCTTACGACTTATATATTATATTTCGACTTATATTCTTATATTTCGACTGAGATGTACTTTAAATAAGTTGTTGCCATTTCGAAAATGAATTGATGAATTAATCGCTATCCTAGATAATGGAGAGCCGAAGGTGTGACCATAGTATAGCAAGTATGGATATTGTAAGTTGGTTATTTGTATCCAAGAGTAAAGCTTACACATATCACCATGATATGTCACATCAGGGGCGACTTCCTCGGAAAAATCCATTAAGTTTTCAATGTTCAAAATTCATTTAAGCTTTGAATATACGAATTTGCAGCCTACTATGCGCTACAAAAATATAATGCATTTCAAATCCATTCTCACATCAACCAATGCGGTAAAACTCCTTTGGTCATAAGTGTTTTTCATTTTGGCTTCAATTTACTTCTGATTGTCTGAGGTCATTGACAGCCTCGTGTTTGCAACATGAAGCTAGAAGAGATTCCCCTGCTTCATTCATGTTGCATGTGAAATGTCCCCTTGAATTTTTTCCTCCTCTCCGAAAATTCATTTTTCCAAGAACTACTTATTTGCCCAATTTCACTCTTCTTTATGTACCTCTTTCACTGGGACAAAAAAAAAGTGTCACGGTACACGTCTCCCGAAGAATATATAATGCTGGGAATGGAACCCAAAACATGATACAGCGACTTATTGCTTAACATAATCGATCACGTCTACCCCACTCATCGGTTATTTTCTCCGATATTTCATTTTTTTCGGGCCAAATTGAAATGCGCTGAAAGTGACGGAAATGTTACTGATTATCTGAAGATTGAGTGTTATTCTTCTCAGAAATGCATGCCGGACAGAAACTTGCCTGCACATTGAATCGGGCCAGTCGGTCCTTTTAAGGATGATAATGTGCCTTCCATGTAAATTCCATGTAAAATGTCACTTGTTTAAGGAAAATGATAATATTATGAAACAAGCTTAATTTCATTAATTACCATTCATATATACTGGCAATGAAGTAAGCAGAGATGAATCCTCCAACCTTGTTTTCTAGAATATTTTAAAGGACATTATACATTTCATTTTAGATGCTGTGGAAAAAAGTTGGCATAGTACTGGGAAGAATTAATTGCACTTTTCTCATCGCCGAGCAAATTTCCTTTCTCATTTGAAATGCATATTATTCCGAGCCAATGACCCTTTCTGAGGATAGCATTTCTGGTTAATTTGTGTCATTCAATTGGATATGAAATCAGAAATGTGAAAGTATAAGTAATTAGAAGCTATATTCCTCTCTGCAAGTAAATAATAGGGTGACGCTCACTTGCAATCCAATGAAAAGCACCCGAATGAATGCGGAATGAATTAGGATATCGTTATCACGGTAGGCAGAATAAGGTCCCAAAATTACGTAAAAACAACGTCACTCATTTAAACTTCCTGATACGACACATTAATGTTATATCACCTAATGTCAATAAAGGGGACGTTCATTCTAGTGACGTTAGGTTTAGGTATTTACGACATCAATTTCGTTGGAGTGACAGAAAAAGGACATAGTGGACAATGAATGAATATCATGCACATCGTTAAAATGCTGCTTTGGAGCAAGAAGAAATTCACTTTTGAAATTTTGCATTAAAAATCTGCAAACCCGAAGGCAAAATTGCGCACACTAACTTATGGGCCAAGAGTGATGTCACATGAGAAATTTCGTCAATGTGACCCCTTTGGGTCACCGGCCGGCCTACAGCTGATGTGAGATTGAAAGATCCTTGACTATTTTCAAGGTTATGATGAAAAGGTTGGAAGGTGATCCCAGTTCACCTACCATCTTTGTATTGCTTCTACATCAAAGTTCTAATAGGAATTGCTCCAACCAAAGAGGCACACCAAGTAAGCCTTTTTTAACATTTTGAAACTGAGAAGAGTCAAATTTTCATATATCACGAGCACTTAATTTGCAAATTCGAAATATTACTATTATACTCTTTTCTGCAATTTCCGGATTAGGTTTTTTTGCTTAATATGCTAAAAATATGAAATATTTAGCAGCACTATCTTCATCGAAATCACTGCTGCTATAGCTCGTCTCTCTCATAAGACTAATCAAATAAGATTTTGTTTTGGCTGCATATGGTTCCATGAGAGAATTTCGAGACTTGAAAATAAAATATTTTGCTGAATATTGCAATCTTGGAGCATCGGAAACCTAGTGGGGATACACTTGTAAAATACCAATAATAACCAGTAAATTACTTTTAAATTACCAAAAACTAATGCCCACTTCCTCAGTGGGAATTTTACTACCCTAACTCAAGGTAACCCCAAGAGTCTCTAGCTACTTCTTCGCATTGAGCAATTAATTTGCATTCCAGGTTTCAGACCTGATACGACCATTTACCTCAACGAAAACAATATCACTGCATTGTCTGAAGAGAGCTTCCGCCCGATGTTGGACATCCTCTCTATGGGAGATGGTGTCCTTGATCTGAGCGGTGAGTTTTACCGTTTCTCATTCTTGCACAATCTTTGAAATATCTTACATGATTCCTTCGTCAGCATGTTTTTCTCTTTCTTTTCTCTTCATTGCAGACAATCTTATCCAGTGCGATTGTGAAATATCATGGCTAATGCTCGGTCGGAAATATCTAAGAAACTTGTCTGGGAAGTGTAACAATGGAACGGAATTGAAGGACTTCGATTCGAGTTCGTTAAATGCCTGTCCTCGTGAATGCCCGTACCAGTGCATCAACAATTTATGGATATCTCTCTGTACGCCGGGGACGGTGACTCTTTCTCATGTGGACAACTGTCGATCTGGAGAACTGTGCTGCCAGCTAAACATCCCGAAAACAACCACAATGACATCTTCATCAGTACCAGATATCCTCTTTGGTATGTAATATAGAAAGTGGGCCAAATCTTCCAAACAAAAACAGAGAACTGATCAAATGTGTAATACTACATGGTTTCTCAAAAATGTATACACACATGAAAGTGATTGTTAAGTAATTCAGAGAGGTACAATGTTCGGTGTGTGGAGAGGTAAGGGTTTGAATTGCGTGGTTCACCACCACAAATGTTCAAATTGTTCACAGCATCCAGGCACTGTTGACAGTTGACTGTTGGTGAGGTCTATAAGAACATTGTTTGCGCATTACCGTATTGGCAATGTTCTGGGAGACCATATACTCACTGTACCATCAGCATCAAACTTATCATGAATCCTTGAAAGTTCTAGTACATCATGTTGGCATATTTGCAAGTTCATTTCTTCATCTACTTTGCACTTCACATGTGTTCTCAGATTTCCAGAATCACTTAAAAATCAACTTACATTGCTCTAAGGTCAAATGAGCTTGTGTCGTCTTCCGTGACACACTGTCTCGTGGGAAAAAATTGCCTGATGACACGCGATCATTCCATTACACATTGTCATATGTTAGGTACTGTATACGTCACATTAAACATCGATCCTCTTTGAATTATTTAATATATACTATTCATTCAAGTGTGTATACATTTTTGAGACACCCTGTACTTTCGTTCATAAATGAATCCTGGAATACAAAAGACTTGCATAACGGAAAACTAACATGATCCAATGAAATAACGCGTTCAGTTAACAGGTAGCAGAGGTTCTAACGTTTTCCAATTTGTTTTCTGCACATTCCGCCTTTGTGGTTATTGTCATGATCGCAGTTCTGCTTATTTTATCCTCCAACAGGTAGTGTAATTGGATGTGCACATCTAAGTACACCAACGCATGGATCTATTGAGATAGAATCCTGTTCGACTACTTCAGAAATTATTAGTGACAGAAGGGAGACAAAATGCATTCAAGATGGGAAATATGAATTCAAGAGTGTTGTTAGATACTCGTGCAATAAATACTACATTCTAAGGGGACCCAAGATTCGCAGATGCACGCAGGATGGAGAATGGACAGGAAACTCACCGTTTTGTGAGCCTGGTCGGTTTTTCGAATCCAATTATTTTCCCTGTTTACCTGATACATATATTTAATTTTTAAAAATGTATTTCTGTACTATCGTATTCCTAGTGTGTGGGAGAAAGAATTACCAAGTGACATTGTCCAAAGGAGGAAAGCCATCACAGATAGGAGAATGGTCATGGCAGGTAGCCATTTATGACGTTCAAGAACAAGATATTGTTTGTGGAGGAGCACTCATTCAAGAGCAATGGGTACTCACAGCGGCCCATTGTGTCTCTATTCAGGGTACCGATAGACCTCGGACCAAGAAAGATCTTTTGGTTTACCTTGGGAAACAACATCGAGCTAATGTTGAAGACGATGAATACGTGCAGATCAGACAGGTTTGATATACAACAAATTATTGTACTTTCATTCATTCATTTCCGGATGATGGAACTGCTGCAATTTTTTAAATAGGTGTCTCACATATTCCACCATAAGGATTACAGCATTCAAAACTATGACTCAGATATTGCTCTACTGAAATTAACAAAGCCTTCCGTGCTGACTGAGCGAGTGCAGTTGATATGTCTCCCGACCAAATTTGATGTTTCTGACGAAAATCTCCAGGATGGAATATACAAAACTATGACTCAGATATTGCTCTACTGAAATTAACAAAGCCTTCCGTGCTGACTGAGCGAGTGCAGTTGATATGTCTCCCGACCAAATTTGATGTTTCTGACGAAAATCTCCAGGATGGAATGGAAGGATGGGTAAAGTGTGAAATGCCTCTTCTCCCTAAAATACAAAGTCTTCTGGAAGGACGTCGTTCAATGGATCCTTTTTTTTATTCTCGTTGCTCTAGGTTGCCGGTTGGGGCTTTGACGGTTCGGATCTCCCTACGCCCGTCCTGACAGATGTTCAGCTCCCGGTGATTTCCAATAGCTTGTGTCGTCGGGACACCGCATACTTCACAGGGGACATCACCGCCACTCGTACCCTCACCTCAAACATGTTCTGCGCTGGTCATTCTAAAAACACATCTCTTGAAGGTATGAATGATCGCCATTGCAGTGACGTATTGATTTTCTATTCCTGCCTTAAGGCATTCTGAGGCAATAGCATTGGTCGTGCCCCGTGGGCTTGTGTTAATTTCCCTTTTTATATGTATAATGTTTCGTGTTGGTTAACACCTGTTCATATGGTGAGCTTACTTTCTGGAGGAAATATTCAGAATCACGTATGGAACATTCCATGGCATTGCCATCATTTTGAGAGATGTTTTTAAATGTTGAAAAACAATATCTTATATGTTGGCTTTCGATTGATGTACATACATTTCGTTCATTCCTTGGTCTTCTCTCAAATTTCAGGATAATTAGTGATATCAAGAGGCGATTTCGCCCATTTCGATATCACGTGTCGATGTCGAGCGTTCCTTAATTTTAGGGTAGGCCTAAACCTCTTAAAGCTAAATATTTTTGTATTTTTGTTTTGTTACCCGATGTTGGACATCCTCTCTATGGGAGATGGTGTCCTTGATCTGAGCGGTGAGTTTTACCGTTTCTCATTCTTGCACAACCTGTGAAATATCTTACATGATTCCTTCGTCAGCATGTTTTTCTCTCTTTCTTTTCTCTTTATTGCAGACAATCTCATCCAGTGCGATTGTGAAATATCATGGTTAATGCTCCGTCGGAAATATCTAAGAAACTTGTCTGGGAAGTGTAACAATGGAACGGAATTGAAGGACTTCGATTCGAATTCGTTAAATGCCTGTCCTCGTGACTGCCCGTACCAGTGCATCAACAATTTATGGATATCTCTCTGTACGCCGGGGACGGTGACTCTTTCTCATGTGGACAACTGTCGATCTGGAGAACTGTGCTGCCAGCTAAACATCCGGGAAACAACCACAACGACATCTTCTTCAGTACCAGGTATCCTCTTTGGTATGCAATATAGAAAGTAGGCCAAATCTTCCAAACAAAAACAGAGAACTGATCAAATGTGCAATACTACATGCTGTCTCAAAAATGTATACACACATAAAATTATATGTTAAGTAATTCAGAGAGGTACAATGTTCGGTGTGTGGAGAGGCAAGGGTTTGAACTGCGTGGTTCACCACCGCAAATGTTCAAATTGTTCACAGTTAGCATCCAGGCACTGTTGACTGCTGACAGTTGGCTGTTGGTGAGGTCAATAAGAACATTGTTTGCGCATTACCGTACTAGCAATGTTCTGGGAGACCATGTACTCACTGTACCATCAGCATCAAACTTATCATGAATCCTTGAAAGTTCTAGTACATCATGATGGCATATTTGCAAGTTCATTTCTCCATCTTCTAGGCACTTCACATATGTTCTCGATTTCCAGAATCACTTCAAAATCAACTTACATTGCTCTAAGGTCAAGTGAGCTTGTGTCGTCTTGCGTGACACGCTGTCTCGTGGTAAAAAATTGCCTGGTGACACGCGATCATTCCATTACACATTGTCATCTGTAAGGTAAGGTACACGTCACATTAAACATCGACCCTCTTTGAACTATTTAAAATATACTCTTTATTCAAGTGTGCATACATTTTTTAGACACCCTGTACTTTCGTTCATAATTGAATCCGGTAATGCAAAAGACATGCATAACAGAAAACCAACATGATCCAATGAAATAACGCATTCAGTTAAAAGCTAGCAGAGGTTCTAACGTTTTCCAAATTGTTTTCTGCACATTCCGCCTTTGTGGTTATTGTCATGATCGCAGTTCTGGTTATTTTATCCTCCAACAGGGAGTGTAATTGGATGTGCACATCTAAGTACACCGACGCATGGATCTATTGAGATAGAATCTTGTCCGACTACTTCAGAAAATATTAGTGACAGAAGGGAGACAAAATGCATTCAAGATGGGAAATATGAATTCAAGAGTGTTGTTAGATACTCGTGCAATAAATACTACATTCTAAGGGGACCCAAGATTCGCAGATGCACACAGGATGGAGAATGGACAGGAAACTCACCATTTTGTGAGCCTGGTCGGTTTTTCGAATCCAATTATTTTTCCTGTTTGCCTGATAGGTACATTTAATTTTTGAAAGTGTATTTCTGTACTATCGTATTCCTAGTGTGCGGGAGAAAGAATTACCAAGTGACATTGTCCAAAGGAGGAAAGCCATCACATATAGGACAATGGCCATGGCAGGCAGCCATTTATGACGTTCAAGAACAAGATATTGTTTGTGGAGGAGCACTCATTCAAGAGCAATGGGTACTCACAGCGGCCCATTGTGTCTCTATTCAGGGTACCGATAGACCTCGGACCAAGAAAGATCTTTTGGTTTACCTTGGGAAACAACATCGAGCTAATGTTGAAGACGATGAATACGTGCAGATCAGACAGGTTTGATNTCCGACTGCTACAGCTCCCTCTTTCGAAAAATGTACTCCGTCCCTAGCCATCGGAAAGCATTAATTGTATCACTTAGAGACCTTGCCACATTGTTCTCATTTTTTCACCGTCCCCTCTTGTCGATTTCATGTAGGTTTGGGGGTGGGGGGGTTGTGGGTTTTCTCCTACTGACTCCCGAGTTTTCTTAGCCATTCCTTGTCTTTCATTCCTAATCAAGTAACAGATGTGTGGCTCAGGAAATCGAAGTTTAAATTCTCAAATTGGTATGCATTTTCATGCCAGGAATTTTTTGTAATTTAGCGGAACAAGAAGACCTTCAAGGAATTACTGTCAATTCTCGATGTACCGCCACTGTTCATCTTCGCCGATTTTGGCGCTATATCGAGGGAGACGCTATATAGAAAGGAGTTGTTTTTACTGAACATTTCCGAAGTAACTCAAATGTAAAATATAATAGAGTCGGCAAACAAATCCACTTTAATTCGCCCATGCTGGCAATGGAGAACAAAAACCGCACAGCTATGAAAAAATGATTCCCAATGTTTAGCTGACTTTCGGCCACATGTGCCTCCTTGTAACGTCAGACTTCCACTTTTTCCCTCACACTTATTACTGTCATTTTCCCCATTACTGGATAATGAACACACTTGAATAGTCGTCTGGAGACAGTTTGAACTGAAAGAGGCTCCTTTGAAAAAGAAGATGCAGAATTAAGTCAGATGAAGTGACCTCTTATGCCCCCATCTAATCCCTGGCGTCTGTGCCAAAGCTTAGTTATCCCGCACAATCTCGTTATCAAACGATCAAAAGAAAAGGCTGAGAGCATGGCTTTTTTCACCAAAGTAGTGTATGGTTTGATCATTGTAGCTGTTACGATATGCTACTTGGCGCTATATCGAGTACGACTTATTTTGAATGAGACACGTTTGTGAAAGACAAGGTATTGGCGGATGGCGGGTTGCGAGGGTGGCGCCTGTGGCGAAGATTCGTTCTCAGGAAAGAGTTGGTGCTAAGCGAAAGTGGCGGTATATCGGGTGATGGTACCTCGAGGGTTGACTATATTTGGTTATGAAATCCGTAAAGATGTATGCATAAAGATGTATAAATGTAAAGAGCCATAACCATAGCTTTCTCCTCCGATTCCGAAAAAGAAGGAAGAATTCCATTCGGCACAAGAGTAGCCTCTGCATGGCATGGCAATGTCCCCAATTGGAGAAATTCTTAAATTTCATGGCAATCAACCAATTTGTGCAAATAAAAGTGCTATCAGCACGTTAAAATTTGGACGAACATAAAACGGGAGAATTAAAATTTGCATTCCACGATTTCTTAATTTGCCAAAGAAGGGGTTGACACAGACCTCAGGTCGGTTGACGTAATTATTTAGTAATTATGCCGCTAAAAGAATTATTATGAATTATTTATTAAACAATGTGGGCTTCTTATTAGACATGCAACGATATTTTATCTGTATCGGTATCGGCCGATATTGGGTGAACCCGATATATCGGCCTAAAACGATAAATGACCTGCCTATAACTGATATTAAATTTACACCTGAAGTATGCCAAAAGCTATGTAAAGCGAATGATGAATATTCTCTACTTTTTCTCATTAGACAACATTTCACTTGACTCGAACACACGTTCGTGGGACGTTCCTCGTGCANGAACATAAAACGGGAGAATTAAAATTTGCATTCCACGATTTCTTAATTTGCCAAAGAAGGGGTTGACACAGACCTCAGGTCGGTTGACGTAATTATTTAGTAATTATGCCGCTAAAAGAATTATTATGAATTATTTATTAAACAATGTGGGCTTCTTATTAGACATGCAACGATATTTTATCTGTATCGGTATCGGCCGATATTGGGTGAACCCGATATATCGGCCTAAAACGATAAATGACCTGCCTATAACTGATATTAAATTTACACCTGAAGTATGCCAAAAGCTATGTAAAGCGAATGATGAATATTCTCTACTTTTTCTCATTAGACAACATTTCACTTGACTCGAACACACGTTCGTGGGACGTTCCTCGTGCATAAGTGTCGAAGTCAAGTGAAAATACTGCAGAAGGTTGAAAATGCCTAAATGACAGGTTTTCATTTAAAAAAAAGAAGTATTAGACTGCTGAAAATGTAAGCATATTTCCCCTTTGGATTGGGATTCCCCTGGGATTCGACCTTCACTGCCGCAGTTCCTCAACGTCCCACATCTAGGGATGGAAGCGCTCCGTGCTCAGGTACTCCCTTCCCAAGCACGCTGGCGCTTGAACTAGGAAATATATACTTGACTTGGCTAGGTTCAAGCTCAGGCCACCCTGTCAGGGGACATTAGCTCATTAAACAGGCACCCAATTGAGAGTTGAGAAGCGTCATCTATTCAATTACCATAGCCTACTCCGTACTTTCTGCGAAAATAGACATCGCTTGTGTTAGCGCGAAGAACCCAGGCCTAGATGGATCCCAATACCTCGGTACAAAATCACTAGACTATAGTCTGATTTCAACTCTTTCGTGGCCAGAGGTTCCATTTGGAACCACCGATTTTCAAGAATTTCATCATCTTTATATTCATGTTAGGACTGTGCCGATGGCCACATTTAACTGGTAGACTGATGGCGCTTTTTGAACTCATACCCATCGACCGGTGCCAGAGCTGGAGCTGATTATGATCTATACTCTATAGATTGCGAAAGTAACATGAAGTCGCAGACGAATTCAAATAGGCCTATTTAGAAGGCATGTGATACGTATCAATAAGTCTCCTAAAAACGATAGAGACCACTTTTAGAACTTTCCAGCCTGTCTGTCGGCGTCCATCAGTGAGTCCGTCATGGTTACCTTTTGCTGATATGAGGACTTAACGACACCACTCGCTAATGCACAGAATAAAAGGAGATGCAATGATTTCATAGACTTAACGGCTATTTTCCTCCACCAGTTCCAACAATCGGGCTGAAATACAGTAAGTCCTCGATTTACGTCGTGGATGCGTTCCCGGAAACCACGACGTAAAACGAAACCTATTTTTTTCCCATGGACTAAATGATATACAGGAAGTCCTCGCTCTACGACGTTATATCGAAACGACGTAAATCGAGGACTTCTCGAATAATCTAATCGATATTTTTTTCCTGGAGAGGGTGGCAGGGAAGGCTTTCAGTGAGACAGGAGGGCCGACAGCAAGCAGCGCTCACACACTCGCGTAGTTTTTTTTGCATTTTGCCCCCCTCCAGGCTTCGGCAGCCTGGAGGGGGACAGCTTCCAACCTTACCGTAGCCATGGCGTCAATGATGCAACACCAGACGCCAATCTCTGTGGTTGTCAATACGTCGATGCAGTCCTAATTAATAAAAAATGTCAATTTATATTTGAATATTTGTAATATAATGTATTACATACATATCATTATAGATAAAAACTTATTTAATATATTAAATATGATTGATTGCCTTAGAAATTTTCCTGAAAAGCAATTATGTTCACATTTCATCTTCAAGGCAAACTATCTGATGTGTTAACAATTTGTCAGTCATGTCTGTCTGGGTGTCCGTTAGAGGTAAGAAGGAATGAATTTTGACATTCTTTACATTTTCTGGACTGAGTGCTACTTTGGAAAAAAGGGAAGTAATTGCTATTCAACCTTATTGCAAGTTCTATGATGGAACATTGGAACATAGGAAAGAAAATACCTGATACAAATCCAATGTAATATTTTTAAAATCCACATTGAAGAGCCCGGCTTCAGCATGAAGAAAACATTTCTTCCCACTATTGGAGAAATGGGAAAAGCATGAGGCGCACCGCTGGTGCACCTCAAGCTTTCCCCATCAGACCTGGTCCCAAATAAAACTTAACAGTGGAGACTGAGGGTGGATTTTTGAACAGAGAACTATCCGATAATGCAGCTTTATTCTGGGGAAAATAATGTTATTTCCTGGAAATAAAGCAGCATTCTCGGATAGTTCATTGTTCAAAATTTACCCTGAATGTGTGAATATGAATGTAGATATAGATATCGGTATCGGTTCTTTTCCAATATCGCAATTATCAGTATATCGGATATCGGCCAAAACTCAATATCGTTGCATCTCTACTTCTTATGATGTATGGAATATGAAGAGGTAAACTGGGATTCCAACGATATTCACTGGTTTTAGTTTATTTTATATTCAAATTTAATTTCTACTAATAAACTCAATATAATGTCAAGTAGACCACACCCGCGTCCCGCGGGACCCGCTTCGTGGTTAATAAATCTTCAGCAGGCATGAAGAACTCAAGGTTAATTTTTATTTGCATCAATAGAAAATGCAAATAGTAAAGAGATGAAGTTCGAATTTCAAAGTGCCACGCTTTGGAACGAAAGTAGGAGACGCTTATGTCATCAGGGAACCCTCAACTAGATTAATACAATTTCTCAGCTTGTTCTGTCTCGTAGAATTCAAGTGAGATACATAGTTGAAATTTCGAACACCACGGGCATCGGATAAGGAATGATTTTGAGCCGTGTACGGGATGAAGATGAAGTCTATAGAACCGTTCCGATTGGTCGGACAGCGATGTCGGCTATCAAGTTTCTTGTTTGGCGTAGGCGAATGCGCTTTCAGAGGGTCTTGCCCTCCAGCCGCTTACAGCTCCTGAAGAACCTTTGTTCGGTGCTCTCATAGGTCACAAAGGTTCGCCAGCCATGTGGTGCCATGTCATGTGACGTTATGGGATGGCTGCTAGCGTCGGCAAAGCAGGCTTGGAAATTAATAAACCCAGAGACCCCGATTTTTCAAGCTTAGAGCCCTAAGCAAGCAGCGAGTCGGCCCAATCGGTCATCTCGCAGACATTCTCGCTCGTTCTGCCAACCATTGATAGAAGGAATGCGGCTCGCTTCATTGCCTACGTCCGATTTTTTCCTGCGGTTAGTTTGGGTATATAGCAAAAACTCAAAAGCAATGAGTGAACAATTTGAATAATTCAGGTGATTGAGTTTTTA